AGAGGCCTTCTTTATGCAGGTGTATGCAATTTACTTTTGGGGTAGGCTCTGTTTGAGTACTTCGACGAGATGGATTAATGGAGGGTGCTGCCGGCAGTGTGAATCTCCAAGGATGTTTGGATATCCGCGGCTTAGACCAAATCGTCAATTTTTTACAAAGATAAACACGGGTTTTTGCAACGTTTTGGCGTGAAACCGCCAAAAAACAAACGGACCCAATAAAATTGCGTGCAAATTGTATTAAAAGGGCAAATAAGATATTTAAAATAGTTATATTTATTGATATTTAATTTGGAGGCTGTATATAGTAATATGGAGACTATAAATAAAATCTGCCCAATAACATTGAGAAGAACCCGGTAGCATTTAAAGAGGCTCAATAACAATGACCTTTCCTGCTTAATTAGAAACCCAATTGATTGGGGAGTTGAGAGCTGAACTCTCCTGGGAACGATCTGCGACCCAGTTCTCCTTCCACGCTCTGAGCATCGATGAATCCTTATGATCGATAGATGATGTTTTAAATTACTAATTCAAAGTAGTTTAACACTTCCTAAACCTAAATCCGTCCTTGGACTTTTGTTTGGAAGACAGATTTGCGTTCGAGAAAACAAAACCCAATTTGCAAAATTACTGTTCATGGCTACCTGAGCCTGAAATCCGAGGACTTCGTTGCAGACCTTCCACTGTGGGTCGCCGGGAAGACGTGGTAATCGCCGTTCCTACCTGCGACTGAGGGTCTGCAATAGATTACTGTTCTTACCTGCGAACTTGTGGTAACCGAAGCTCAGTATTAGCGATATTGTTTGTTTTCCGATTTGGAGTCGGTAAACTCGTCACTTCAGATTTGATTTCCAGTTAATGGGTCGAGCTTAGAGTCTGTTTCGAGATTCTAAACATTGGTGCTTTGTTATCTACCTAAGATACTGTGTATCTGTTGTTTTGGGAATTTGCCATGTCTGCGAAACAGGGTTGGGGGATTAGAACTACCAGGTCCAGCTTCTCAGTACTTCAGGATTCTGATATGGAGTTCCCTGCTCTGCTGCCTGGACTCTCTGTGAAGAAGACAAAGCAAAAGAATGCTACGGTTAAACTACCTGCTGCAAATGTGCTTCCTGGAATTGAAACAGAAGATGAATTAAATGCCAACAGGTTGGCTTCCAAGGATGATGGTAATGCTGCTGGGAGTGCACAACAGATAGTAAATGCTAAGACTGTAACTGCTGGTTCAACACTGGCAGTAACTGCTGGTTCAACACTGGCAGTAACTGCAGGAACTAAATGGAACTCTCTGTTTAAGGATAACCGGGATCCCAAAAATGGGATTAAGCTGAGATATGTTCCACCTAGCGGCGGAACACTGGACTTCGGTGACCGCATACTACCCTCAATGGTTGAAATGTGGGGTTATTGTCTAGTGGGACATTTCACCGGCAAATTCCCCGGACTCAAAGCGGTTCATGACTTAAAAGCTACATGGGGAGTCAAAAGTCTAGTGAGAGCTCATAACAAGGGCTGGATAATTTTTAAATTCCAAAATGAAGAGGATAGATCCAAAGTACTACATGAAGGACCCTACACCGTCTTCGGAAAACTATTAATGCTCAAAGAACTCTCGGAGGACTTCACTTTTGAGGATGAGGAATTTCTAAAAATTCCAATTTGGGTCAAGTTCCCTAAACTACCGATGAGTTTATGGAATAATGAGGCTATGAGTGAGGTGGCATCAATGGTGGGGGTCCCATTAACCACGGATAGAATCACTCAAGAAAGGGCAAACAATGACTATGCTAGAGTTCTTATTGAGGTTGATGTTTCAAAACCACCACCGCTTCACTTCCCAATTCGACTACCTTCCCATAAGGTAATCAAACAATTTGTGGTTTATGAAACTTTCCCTAACTTTTGCTTTCATTGCAAAGAATATGGGCATCACCCATTTATTTGTAAGAAACTAGCAAAACGGGAGGATATGGAAACTGATTTAGAACGAAGAAGGGAAAAAGATGAAAATACAGAGAATGGGTCAACCAGGCCACAACCTGCTGCCCAGGGGTCAGACCCGACCGGGCCTGCCCCTAGCCTGACCGAACTGCAGGTTCCTCACCCGCCCGGGTGTGCGAAGGACCCGATCGGCTCTTCAGCGCAGAACAACGCCCAGGATGCATCTGCTGAGATTAAACAGGCTGAACAGAGACCTTCTTTGGATGATGGCGAGAGGATAGTTATGGATAAAAAGGATGTGAAGCTAGATGATGTTGTTATAAAATGTGAGGTGATAAACGGCAAGACACTCAAGTTGTTTGTCAAACCGTTTAAATCCGTGCATGCTAATGTGATTCGAGTGGACAATTTCCTTCGACTTACGGATGATTTGGATAGAAAGGGTCTCACTTTTACCGATGAATGTCTTGAGGGCTTGCCGGGTGTTACAAAGAAGAAAGGGGAGGTTCGCTTTGATTCAAAGTTCACTAAACCTTTCCGATTTTTCCTTGGTTGTTGAAGTAGGGAAACCTAATATCTTTTATTTGTGATTTGTGAAGTGGGGATTGTCCCATTATTTTGATGCATTATATCTAGGTTAGATTTTTCTAGCTTAGATAGTCATTTTGATTTGGATTTGATGCATTGTAAAATGCTATTTTTTCGGTCTAATATACTTACATATTATCGAAAAAAAAAAAATAGAAACCCAATTGATTTATGAACAAACAGTTTAGTAATTCTAAATGTCCACAACCTTGTTCACTAAGTATTTTCGCGTACACTATAAATATACCATTTCAACTTGTGGAAATGAATCACGGTTATGATTTTCTAAGTATAATGTTACTTTGTCAATTTTTTTACTCGGTTTATACTTTGTGTATTTGATTCGGTAAAGCCATTATTCTTTTTGCTATAGCCTATAAGGTCCCAAAGTTCAGTTTGAGATCCAAACCTTTTTATTGCAACTTATATATTAAACCAAAAGAGTGGTTATTCGAATCGATAAGCATCAACAGAATTGTCATAATGTCATTATCCACAATCACAAATTGAACACTCAATCAGTGAAGAGGATTGGATGAGTAGCCATCAAACCAATAAAGTGGAAATAGAAAGTGGTGCAAAAGCCAAAAGTCCAAAATGAAGACCAGAAAGGACTTGGCACGATATTTAAGTTAAGAAAATGTGCCACATCTTAAATTCTTCATACCCACATTTTAAGACCTTTCACACTAATCCCCAAATAACAATTGATAGAAACTTTATGACATCACATTGTTGCTTTATTTTTGGGGTATAATAATATTCTACTAACGTAGCACAAAATTAGAAAGAAAAGAAAATTATGAATGCTTACCTATAAGGATGTTTGTAATTATATTGAGATTTTGTGGTCGTGTCTAATTTGATCTAGTCTGCTAATTTCTAATATGTATGTATTTTATAATTGTCAAAGTTTGATGTGGTTTGATCTAATCTGTTTAAGTCTGGTATAATTTATTTAAGTCTGTTCTGATTTGATCTAGGACTGAAGTAGTAAAAACTAAAAACTTCCTAATTGTAATCCACAATACCGCATAAGTGCATAGCACCACATTATTGCTTTTTTGATCCATTAAAAATGTACTCTAAAGATTTGTTTAGTTATAAATTACAGTAACATTTTGATCCTTTGAGGTCGGCCGGTAAATGATCGATTCCTCTTAAGACTAGTAATATGCATTATAGTGCAAAAATACCTTCTTTAAACTGAACTACTCTCGCTAAAGACTGAAAACAAGACTATCAAAATAACTACATAAACTATCATTAGCGGAATTGAATGATTGTGTGGCAAAGAAAGAAAGAGAGTACTAAACCACCAAACAATACATGCTTTAATAGCTTCCTTTTTAGGAAAATTATAAATTACCTGCTCCTCTAAGGTTTGACATAAACTTTAATTCGTTACAAATACTTTATACAACAAGATGTACCCACTTTTATACTCATCTTATACTTACCATGTTTGTGAAGTGTTTTTTGTCTGTGAACCTGGTTCACATGCAATATTTTGTTTGTGCAAAATATTATTTGTAAACCGGGGTTCCCAGACAAAAAGAAAACACTACACTACTGTTTTAGAAACAGATAATAACTTCATTGAATTGCAATAAATAAATACGGAGTTTAATATAATAAAAATGTGTAATAATGTGAAAAGCATAAGCATTGAATAATGAAATAACACGAACCCAAAACGTATAAAATTTACCATGGGATTCACTTGAAAATATACTCTGTATTACAATTATTAAGTACAGAATAAATATTATTAGTACTATTACACAAATATATATATATATATATATATATATATATGTATATATATGTATATATATATATATGTATATATATGTATATATATATATATATATAGGGGTGAGATCTCATACTAACTAGTTCTCCCATGCTAACTCGTGAAAACTCCGACAACCGGTGGTATTTTTGGCTCAAAGTTTTTGTGTATGTTCCTCATCAAGTCTAGTTCATCTATACCAAATTTGAGCAAAAAATTCAATCGGGAAGGTCATCAAATGATTTTTGAAAGAAAACTGCTCCGGAAAATACATATAAAATGCAGTTTTCTTTCAAAAATCATTTGATGACCTTCCCGATTGAATTTTTTGCTCAAATTTGGTATATATGAACTAGACTTGATGAGGAACATACACAAAAACTTTGAGCCAAAAATACCACCGGTTGTCGGAGTTTTCACGAGTTTGCATTTTAAGCATGGTTTGCATTTGATCTCTTACCTATATATATATATATATATATATATATATATATATATATATATATATATATATATATATAGTGGCGGAACCAGGTCAGGTAGCTTGCGAGGTGGACATTAACAAAAGAAAACAAAATAACGGATAATAAACCAAACAATAAAAATTTAAATTAAACTATTTAAAGAATATTTAAGAGGGATTCGGCAACGGGTCTCTTCCGAGAGAACCCTTCTCTCTCTAGCGCCACCATCTAGGTTGGCCCAGGGTTTTGTCCGGCGGCGGGCTTCTTGGCTTGACATCACGTTTTTATTAGTTAGTTTTCGGCAAGGACAAAGGGTTGGAGCAAGATTTCGGCTTCGGCGGTTCAAATACATTCGGTATCGGCGTTGACGAAGGGTGCAGCGGCGGCTTCGGTGGATCCTCTGCGGCGGCTTTGAGCAGTGCGTGGAATGAATGGAAGAGTTAATGCACCAGTACAAGAGGACGGTATTAGGGGAAGAAAACACCAACTTGAATTTTGATGATAAGAAGGATGGAGAGTTGTTTTCAACCGAGAAGGGAGCTGAATTTCTGGTGATGGGAGTTGTCTTCAAGAATTGGAAAGAAGTTACAGTACTGCCGGATCGTCCCCCTCCTGAACCGCCGCCGTGGAGTGCAGGAGAGGCTAGGATTTGGATTTTCTGGCAACGGAAGTATTTCTTATTTTGTTTTGTTTGTTTTTTCAGTAATTGGTATTTCTGTTTTGGTGTTTGTTTTTTCTGTTATGTTCCAGTTTGTAAGACGTTGATTTTGGATATGGGGGATGAGAGAAATTTGGTAACCGAGTTAGGCTTTTTGTTTCCCGGTTATGGATCAGCAAATTATATTGCTACAGCGATTAATTCCGAGTCTGGTTCGAGGGATAGCGGTTATCAGTTTTCTTTTTGTCAGTTGACCCATACTCTGAACTTCTATTGGTTATTTATCTAAGCCGATTTCAGTCAAAAAAAAAAAGAAAGAAAGAATATTTTAATTTTGATTAGCAACGAATGCGTCTAATGAAGGGGAATAATAGGGGATGTGGCAATCTTTGTCTTCGAGACGCCATACTCTGAAATCGCCATATTATGACTTCATTATCAATCTTAATAAAAACATCTTTCTCAAAAACATTTTCGGGACGCCATACTCTGAAAAACATACGTTGATTAGCAACGGATGAAGCAAATGGAGAATAATGGGGTTTTACTATTATTTTTGGTGTTAGAAGTGACATCATCTGACGAAAAGTTAAATTATTCGATGAAAAACCAAAGATGTTTGGCTCTTTACTACCTCTCGGAAGTGGTATAAAAAATCCTAACATTGGGGTTGTTTGTGAAACAACCTAGAAATACTACAATTAAAGTAATATATGAGTATAATCTTAAAAAACGCATTCTACGAATCATGGTAAAAATCCATTAAAAATCCATTAATTGAGAACTGATGTGAGTTTTCTCGCACTTAAAATGGTTGTAGAAAAGTGGTTGACAGTACGAGTATCGTCTCCACAGGGACGGACAAAAGGGAAATAAGGTTTAACTAAATTTAACGATTAAACAGAAATAAATAAAATAAAAGTGCAATTGTGCGAGATTGATTGATTGATTAAACTAAAACTAATGCTAATGAGCGAATAAAAAGATTTGGTTTTCCTTAATTAAAGACGAAGGGAACAGGAATTGATTCCGGGCCGGGGTTAACCAGATTTCTGGCAGAACAGGCCTAATTACATGAATTTAATTTAATTGAGCCTAGCTAATCATTACTAAGTTCTTACCGCTCTCGCGGCGTAGAGTACAATAATTCAGGGGTCCAGGCTGATCTCTCATGCGACAAGATCCTAAATTATTGCCAAAACGAACGAGCTTACGGCCCCTTAATCGCTACTAATCTCTTAGCGAACGATTAAGTGTGTGTGAATGTGTCCTAGAACAAATTAGATCTCTCTTAATTTATTCTATAAGCAATTGTAATTCTAGTGGCCATCTAGGTTACAAGAGATATCAGTTAAATTATTTATACACAAATTAAACGGCATTCATGCAATTAAACCGACAAGAATCTAGCCATCAATCATGATTAACCCCTTCATCAACCCCATATCCCTAATTAAACTACTCACGCCTCATAATTGACGAATCAAAAGAATTGGAATGAATAGAAATAATTGTCATTAATTAAAGAATTGAACTTACAAAGAATCCCAGGTTCTTGGATTAAACAACGTAAAAAACGCAGGTAAACTCGTCCCTAGGCCTCTCTCCAAAGTTCGTAACCCCCAAAAGTGGGTATAGAGGCTTTATTTATAGAAAACAGGAGAAGTTGAGCTGATTTAGGACAAAACGGGGCCAGACACGATGCCAGGCACGATCGTGCCTGGGATCGTGCCTGCGGAAGGAATGCGTAAAAATATTGCAGACACGATCGTGCCTGCACCGGACACGATCGTGTCTGGCTGCCAGTAGCTCCGCGTCAATTCAGATGGCAGGCACGATCGTGCCTGCCCTAGGCACGGCCGTGCCTGACCTTTTCTTCATCGTTTTTCTTCGTTTCTTGTTCCGAATGCTCCCGAATGCCTACGAGGTCAATCCAAATGCTCTTTCTTCACCAGAATTTCGTTGTGAATCTCCCGGTGGCCTCCAAATCTTCCAAATCTTTCTCGAATGCCTTCAAATCCTTCCTGAATGCCTCTCAAGCGCCGATTGCCGGACTCTAACTTCTTCAAATCAACTGCAAATGCTATGAAACTCGATCCAACGCCTGTTAAACACAACTTGAGCCAAAATTGAGACTTGCAACGCCTTAAAGCTAGGAAAATCATCAGAATCCGACCCGAACACGCATCAAATGCGTGTCTAAATACGGACTTATCAAGAACCCATTGCACAAAAAAATAACAATATATGAAATTGAATTAATAATGAATAAACTACTCAAAAATACAATAAACTTAGAAACTCACAACAAAGTGGAAACATAACAAGGCAGGATCAGTGGCTGAACGGCGTTGCTCGTCTTAGACTCGTCGTCACTCGTCACCCGTCGGATTCGTCGGATAGTTAAAGAATTAGTGGCTTGGTGCTCGTTGGGAAGGGATACCGGACGCAGGGTTGTTGTTCCGCCTGTTGGTGTTGCCGAGTGCTGACTTTGTGTGTTGCTGCGCAGAGGCCGGAGAGGACAAGATGAGGGCCGCTGGCCGCTTCTGTCCGCAGATCGGTAGATGTGGCTTGGGCTGAAAGTTTGGGACGTTATAAATCCGTAGATGGACCGAGAGAGGGGATGACGGGCTGCTGGTTCTGACTTCTGTGAGGGCTCAGGGTTGCAGGGGCTGATTAATGATATATTAATAAATATATATATGCATATTTAAGAAAGGAAAAAAACATTGCAGGGGCTCAAGCACCCCCAAGCACCACAGTAGTTCCGCCCCTATATATATATATATATATATATATATATATAATTAATTCAATTGCATGCAATTGATGCATGCAATTGCACTAGAACATGGGTTTGAATCGTAACATCGTTTATAGTAGTAACAAGAACACCAAGAGGCGTATGATATGATAATGCTGAAATTGATTGAATTGGCCAGATATATTAGAATTGCTAAAATTGGTACTGAAATGATTGAATTAAATAAATCAGTGAATTTATTGTATTTTGGGAAATTTAATTTTTTTTTTATTAAAATTAACGAAATAAGAAAAAAGTCATTTGAAATGAGCTAAAATAACACTCTTCAATAAATTTAGTCAATCCAACAAGAAAAATAATTATAAATTTATAATTTTGAAATAAATTTTAGTGTTGGGCTATTTATCCTAATTGAGTAATTGCTTACATGTTTATATTGTCCAATGTTCTAAAAGGCGTTGGGCACTAGTCGGGCGCCAGCCCAGTGCCTAGCGCCTAGGCGGCTAGGCGGGCGCCTAATCGGGGACTAGTCGGAGACATAGAAATTTTATATTTATCAATATTTTTGCATAAATATGATTAGTAATATTGTGTTTGTGTGTTTATAAAAAAATACACACACATATACACATTAACATGTATGAAATATTTAATTGTCACATTTATTCATATATTATACCTACTCACTTACTCACTAGTAGCTTTTTTCATATACGTGGTTAAAGTTTAAGGTACTTATATCTCTTAGGATACTAAGATAAAAAAGCAAAAAAAAAAGTGTCTGATGAATCTAGACCCCTAGGTGGCCGAATAAGCGCTCTGGGCGGACAACTAGACGCCCTAGACGGCCGACTAATTCACCTAGACGTCAAATCAATTAGTCGGAGCGTCTACACTAAAATCGGGGCGCCCAACCACCGCCTAGCACCTAAGCGGGGACTAGTCGGGCGCCTAGAGCGATTTTTAGAACAGTGATATTGTCTCTTTATTTTATTTCTCATTTTATATTTTGAAAAATATGTGTTGGTTCACGCCCAACGATCCCACAATTCGCATATATTTGAGGAGTAAATATATGACCGCGCTACATAATATGTTACTTGATAAATGGTCACCGAGTCACCCATCAAAAAATGGAGAAAATAGTGATCATTATTCACACTAACGTACTTCGTATTATATAGAGAACACTTATTAGTATACTCGTTTATAAGGTTTATTGCATTTTTGCCTCGACTGATGCACAACCAAACTCGTTTATTGCATTTTTGCAGTGTTGACATAATATTTATCAAAATGTCACCATACTATTTATTATTGACTGAATTTGAGTAAAGTTAAAAATGTGTAACAAAAGAGCATCTAAGTTGAACCAAACCCTATATATATCATGGGGATTTCCCTCCCCCATCCAATGTTGAGTGTGCGTTTAGACTTTAGAGGTTGTTAGACTAGATATCAAGAGGACAAGAGCTTTCTCACACGTTCAAAGTGAACTTGGCCCTCATAAGTGTTGGCTGTGTTGCTAGGAATCATTGAAATGAATCATTATAGATGGGCATTCTAATATCACATATAAGTATTGACTGATTAGAAGTTAAATTGGTTAGAAGTTAAATTAATTTAATTTATTACAACTCAACAAAGAATAATTCGCTTTGTACATTGCTTAGTTCATTTTTTCCTTCATAACATGAAAAACAATACTCCATATAACTTTGCATCATCCTATAAACATGTATGATGAAAAAATATAACAAGTTTAAATAAACAATTGCACATGTAGGCTCAGGGATGTTTAGAATTGATTCTACTTCTGCTTCTTTTTTAAAGCAGAAACAGAATCAAAATCAGTTTTCAAAAGTTGGTTTCCACCCGCTTCTAAAAAACTGATTCTAGAAGTAAATTAGAGCATCAGAATCACTTTTGTACTTTCACCCAAACACTTCAACTCCTTCTTCTACTCCCTAAAGGAGGATAAGCAATTTTAAAAATGAGATCTAAACACCCACTATCCTCATTAGATAGGTGTTTACATAAACAATTAAAAGCATACGTAGTATTTCTATAAGGTCCCATTCTAACGTTACTCCATCCTCGTGGCATCTCAAACCAATTAATGGGGGGCTACTATCATTTTTTCCAAGTCCCCACTGTTTAACTCATCCACTGCCACCACCCTTGTTGGTAAGCCACTATCACTGATTCTTATTTGGGAGCTTGTAGACACTCACTCTTTCTCTCTCTACTTCATTTCTCTCTCTACTTCTTGATTTCTCTCTCTGTCTGCAAAGACAGCAGTCAACCACAAAGAAAAGCAAGTGAAAAGAAAATCAAAAAACAAAAAATGACCCCACTACTTCAATAGTTCAATTCCACTTGTGCTCTTGAAAAAAATAGAGATCCAGACTTTCCCCTCTCTCCCTCTAGCTCTAGCTTAGGGTTGTTTCTTTCCATTCATCCCAAGTGGACAGGAATTGGGAATTTTACAAAAACCTCAAAGATTGTTCCTTTCTTTGGTTTTTTCCTCTTTTCATATCCAAGAAAGATGGATTTTCTTGAGCCACACAAAACCAACCTTGGTGGTGGGAGTGGGAGTGGCGGTGGCGGTGGCGGTTCCGAACACCGCCGTCCAACCCCACAGCAGACCCAAGAGCCGCCACCCCCACCGCCCTCTTCACTCCAGTTGGTCCCAGTCCAAACTCAACCCGACCCGGATGTGTCTGGGTCCGGCAAGGCCCCATCCGACTCTTTTTTGGGCTCCATTTCCAGACCCACTCTTCCTTCTACTCCCACCAACTCTGCTTCCACCAAAGCTGCAAAGAAGCCCTCCAAGGACCGCCACACGAAGGTCGACGGCCGCGGCCGGCGGATTCGCATGCCGGCCTTATGCGCCGCCAGGGTGTTTCAGCTCACCAGAGAATTGGGTCACAAATCCGACGGCGAGACCATCGAGTGGCTGTTGCAGCAATCTGAGCCGGCGATTATAGCCGCCACCGGCACCGGCACGATTCCGGCCAATTTCTCGTCCCTCAACGTGCCTCTCCGAAGCGGCGGGGGCACACTCTCTGCTCCGCCTTCTAAATCCGGCCCTCTCTTCATTCACGGCGGCGCTGCCACGGCCATGCTTGGATTCCACCACCAGCTCTCGAACGCCGGATACGGGCACGACCCGGAGGAGAATTTCATGAAGAAGAGATTGAGAGAAGACACCAGCGGCGGGGCAACCTCACCGCCGCCGTCGGCCAAGGTAGAAAGAACATCCGGTCAAGGTCACGAACCGGGTTCGGACTCCATGCCCGTATCATCCCAACCCACCTCCAGCTACATGCCGGCTCCGCCGGCCATGTGGGCGGTCGCTCCGGCCGCTGGAAACATGGGGAACACCTTCTGGATGCTCCCAGTGAACAGCGGCACCGCCGGAACAACAACGGCGGCGGCGGCCCAGCAAGAGCAACAGCACCATCCGTGGCAGTACAAGAGCACGGGGATGCAGAGGATCGGCGGGTTCGAGTTCCCCGGAGGCGGGCGGTTCAATCCGGTTCAGCTCGGTTCGATGGTATTGCAGCAGTCACAGCCGGTTCAGCAGCTGGGGCTTGGCATCTCAGAGACCATTCAGACCAATATGGGAATGATGGCCTCCATTAATGAGTATAGTGGGAACAGGATTGATTTGGGTATGAATTTGGAACACCATCATCAACATCAACAACATCATCATCAGCATCAACACCATCATCAACAAAGCCAATCCCAAGCAAGTGAAAGTGGAGATGAAAATCCCACAACTTCCCAGTAATTTCATCAAGGATTTGTTTAAATTTATGTTCATTCAAAGTCCAAACCTTAGTTTTTGTTTGAATTGCTATTTAGTTGGGGTTAGATCAAGAATGTGAGGGTTTCTTTGATGTAAAATTAATTAATTACCTATCCATCTTATTCTGTCATTCCTGATCCAAATGCTTAGTGAATGTGTTTCAAGAATTGGGATTTTCTCCTAATCTCAAATGCATATTCATTTGGACCAGGAACTACAGAGACACTAGATTCAATATAAGTTATGGAAGAAGAATCACTCATGTATGTGTCTTAATTGAAATAATGAGTTTTAAGTTCTCCAATTAACCCCATGTATTTCAAATGTATATAATGGAAGAGATGTTCCTTTTATCTTTTCTGTTGACATTTCTCTTATGTTCATCTTGAAAAAAGAAAAATCAAATCTATGTATGACTTGGTTCTACCCTTCTACCAACTATAAGACTTTGACAGTCAATTTTATTCAAATGTATCATTTCTTTAGTTCTTCATCTGTCTTGATATTAATTTTGAACATTCATCATATTAAAGTAAGCCAAATAGTCAATCCTAAAAAGTCAATGGGGTGGGAGGGAAAATACAGTATATTATATGTACGAGTAATATTTTATTTTTATATTTGTAATACTGAAATCCAAAGGGTATGGAGGAGATATGGTGTGAATCTGTTTTACTGTCAATATAGTTTTTGAACTCTTTTTTTAGTGTTTCATGTTTGGACAAAACACTATTATTGAAGCCAAGTTGTTCTCCACCGAATGAACTAGACACATTAACTAAACAAATAGTTACAGCACGTTTTGAATTCATCCGGAGCAAGCTTCCAAGTGAACAAAAAAAAAACTCAATGTCATTTAGGGTTGACCAGAATTAGTAGATTTTCTTACTGTGCTAGAAGACCAACAAATTAAGAGCCATTTATCATCAAATTAGAACATTATAGATGGACATTCCTATATTATACAGATTTATTAACCAATAATTACATGTATAACTTCTTTATCACCTAATAACTGTATCAACTAAAATGTCTCAATTCTAAGATCTCAAACTACTACTCTTACTCGAAATGAAATAAAGTGCGGCATCTCTTGAAATGGAAAAGGCCCACTACACATCCCATTCAGTGTCACAAGAGAGATTAATGGTGATGCTTCCCATAATCCAGTTGGTCACAAAGTTCATGATTAATCCAAAACTAAACTTTGTTCTTTCTTTTTTATAGAAAAAAGATCTTGAGCATCCCTAACTTCAAAAATCTATCAAAAAGATTTGTTATATAGGATTCACGACCACAAGAGCGTAAAGATGGATCATGTTCCAATTCTAGATCCAGAAACAAAGATGCTAGATTTGGGATGGATAAGCACCGAACCAGGCAACCATTTTTCAGGTCCCGACTGCCTCAAATCGATTTGAAGCGGTTTCAGTTCCTCCAAAATAGAACCAAAGCTGTTTGGATTATGTTTTGATTATCTTAATGTCCCCCCAAAATAAAGGCTAAAAACCCAGAACGGGTACAATAGTATCATGTTTGATTTATATATAAACATAACACGTTGTTTTATTTCAGTATACCTTCACATTTGACATCCCCAAAGGTTAAGATATGAGGAATGGTTTACCAAAATGAGGGAGTTGCATACTCCTGGAATTCTACAACCCTTTTAATCTCTAAGTTTAAATGATAAAATTTTGAAATATTAAAATTCAAAATTTTCAATTCTATAAAACTTCTAACATGTATCTGTATATACTCTGCATGTTTAAATGAAAAATGATGATGATATATTGTCATGGAAGAGTTAACTTTATCATCAATCAAGCATTTTAAACGAACTGGGAACCTCGAAACAGAACACTGAGAAATGTACACTTAACAACAATGTGTGGGTTTAGCCGTTTAGGTGGGGAGGAGGGACTCGGCCAATTAATCTCAGCCAAAATGAGCTGGGTACTGTTCTAGGCAGGAAGCTCATTAGTCAAGTTTAAATGTCAGTAAAGTGTTTTACGAGGAGAACCATGATTCTGGGTGCACCACAGCAATCACCTCCCCACTTGTACTTGGGTTTGATTAGTGTCACTCGTATTATGGTTCTTCCATAATTGCTAAATAACCCTTAACCAGAGTGACATTGTTAGATAGCTCAGTTCAATCACTTCAGCAGTTCAGCCGAATTTGCATAAACCAATCAACTCATATAGAAAATCCTTTTAAAATTGGATCCTCATCCACAGCGATTTGATATACCACACCCCAATCCGCCTGGTGTTTTAGTGTTTATATATGACACCATTATGTATTTATTTATATGTATAGACAGGTCTTATGATTGAGCAAATGTAAAACAAAGATGTACTCATGTACCCAATAATCCAATTAGGATTACAATAACTTTTCATAATTATAATCCTAATTATGAATTTAAAAAAGAAGAGCAAAAGCTAAAACAAGTACCATACAGATGCCAAAATGTAATAGGTTTATGAGCACCATGGTCTACATGAGCCAAGGCAAGCCTAAAGGAACTTTGTTATTTTAAAGATAGGAGATGATCAGGTCCCCTCTATGCTGAAGCCGTCTTCCTTTGCTGGAAAATGACGGCCCAAACGGGAACACCAACACCAATGCTGAATGCAGCAAGCACACTGAGACTCATCTTCAGCTTTTGATGTTTCATCCTATCCAAGTTGTACATGTGTTTTGCATGAAGGTAGAATGGCTCGTCATGGCCATGTGCATGTCCACCCATTTTCTTCATGCCTGTTGAGTGAAGTCCTCTGTTCACTGCAACAAAGCCACATTTTGTAGTTCTTGTAAGTTGGTTAGAAAAAATTTTAATCTGTTAAAAAAACGTAGTAGCCTAGTAGTAAAAATGTTAGACAAATAAAAAAAATCTTTTCAAAAGGTTTGGCCAGGCAAGGCTTGGGTTCCTCGGTTCCTCCTTGGGATGCAAATGGACTAAGGGTCTGGTATTGTTTTAAAAATGCCCACCCAGCCTAACTAATCTGAGGTTCAGAAATTACGATGCAGAGTATGAGGCTGAAATAGAAAGCCTAGATCCTTTTTAGCCCTGAATAATCCCACTTAGATCCCACCCAATCTTAATAGGGTTGGATCTTACTAAATTAGAATTTAGTAAACTTACAAGTCAATTGAAATGTTTATATGTTGGTTGTATTTTCAGCAGTCTCCTAATCTAAAGTTTAGTAAGTCCTTATCCAGGTGGTTGTATCATTGTAGATTTGTAGCGAACTGTCATAGTTTTATGGAAGTCAGTTTTTTGGTATATTTGGTCAAGTCATATTTTTGAAGATTAGTTTCATCTGTTTCGGCAGCCATTTTCCATCTTGTAAGTAGTAAACTACTGTAATGTTTTTCTCTTTAACCTGAGAGAGGTATTACAAATTTGTTGTCAGAGCTACCAAATTTGTAAGGGTGAGAGCAATGTATCATTATAAATTCTCAGACTAGGCCTCAATCTGAGCCGGTTTGATAGCTCACTCTTTTAACAATATTGAGGTCCACATAGCCGTATATCCCCATGGATCAGCACATGCTTCCTTTGAATTACAAAAGAACCACTGAACTATACGTGCAGCTGAGTATTTGGTTTATTGAATGTAAAGACGCGCAAAGGGTAACTAGACTTTTGAATGTCCTGAGTAAATATGTGCATTTGAGTTTTAAGGGACACTTGGGCATATTTTGGGATTTAAGTTGCTGTGAAATACTATCGTACTACTTATTGGAAAAGCACTTCTCTTTAAGTATTTCAAAATTACCTTGGGAAAGTATTTTTAAGAGAAACAATGTTTGGCACTGATGTTAAAATGTGCGGTGAAAATATAACAAATCAAAATAAAAATAATTTACCTTCAAACCTCGAAATGCAAAACTTTCTATTTATATTGGCTTTTGGCATTTCAAATTAACTACCGAACAAAAAAGTATATTGTTTGGAATTGGATTAGGAGAAAATAGGCCTTTTGCAATGGCAAACGCAATCCGAAATGGATACTTACTGTTGTTGCATTCACAAAAGTCTAGGTTAACTTCTAACATTAAAACAATTGCATTATAAATCCATAAGTTAGAAGTTCTATCATTAAAACAATTGCAATATAAATCCATAATAAGTGGCTAACTTTCCAAAAAAGAAGCATATATCGGAGTAATATGGTGCTGGGTACTTGAATGGTTAGAAATGATATTAAACCAAACATGTCTGAAGTGACAAGAGTTCACCCTATCAAGGGATTCACTCAAAAATCATGGTGTGGGATGCATTTAATATTGTAATTGCCCGAATTTCAGGAATTGTTAAAGCCTGTGAATTCCTTGATTCCAGACTTTTCTGAAAATCACACCACATTATCGGGAGCAAGAGAATTCCAATGGATCATTCTCCAAAACAACCAAGCTAGAGCACTAGAAATGTTCCTTGTAATAACATGCCATCAATGGAATATGGCATGTAATGTACATATGTCTCTAGTTTCAAGATCACAAAAAACATCAACATGGAAGGTGAAATTTACGTAAACTTTCTCCTGTGCTAAACAAGTACTCCCTCCACCCCGCAAGAATTATCCCATTTTTCCTTTTCGAGAAATCCCACTAAGATTGTCTTATACCAAGTTTGGTAAAGTTTGTGTGAATCTAAATCAAACTTACTTTATCAATTCAATATCAACCACATAAGCTCATTTTTCTTAATAATTGTGTCACCTCCTGGTGTCCCAATGTTAGTGGGGCAAAGGTAGTATTAAACTCACAAGAAAGTTCAAGCAACTAGCAAACGCTTGGTTATAGATTTTTCGCTAAACTTCTTACAAACTACTTTGTAGACTTTTGAATGCGTGAATGAAAAGACATGATTATTTGAATTTAAATATTACCTACTAATTAATTTAACATTGAATCTCTCACAGCATAAGAGAAACACTGTAGGGTAGCTAGAGAGGGGTAGGGAGCAACTGCTCCCCATTTTTTGTGAATACAAATATGTAAAAATATTTGTGATCTAGTAGGGAAAAAACGAATATGAACCTTTGGCCCTCATAAATTTTTAGAAATTATCCTCTAATATTAAATTTCTGGCTACACCAGTTATCATTACCTAGCCACCATACACATAACGACAGAGAAACGTGAATTACTATTCTGAAATGAATCTAAAACCGAAACGCTGAGAAGTAATTCAACGGATATACGGAATGATAAACCTTATAAGGGAGAGAGAAGACAGACCAGTCTTGAGGGCCAATGAATCGGCGGACGCAAGGAGCTTGGAGGCGCACGATCTTAATCCGTTGTTCATCGCCATCGACCTTCCTCGGGAAATTTCTTGCTCTGAGCCGATCTCGATCTATGAGCGGAATATGGACCTTTTCCGGCGTCTTATGATCTCCGTCAAAAAGGTCCGTATGATTTTATTATACTTGGGAAATTGGGCTCGAACCCGTGGACAGGTCCTTAAATAGCCCATTTTAAAAAGAACATTTTAGATTAAAAATCTCACATGAAAACAACTTGAGGTCCAGTCCAAACTTTTTGGGGTAAAGAGTACCATAAAAACAACACATAGTATTGAATCGTATTTGAATGTTCCTTATTTAAGCTTGGGGTAATTATATATACAGCTGCAAATTTACTATTCACAGAGTCTGACAGAGACTAAAGGAGCGCATTGTATTAGGATTTTAGGAATTAATGGCAAAATCTTAAAAGTACATAAATTTTAAAAGTTTCGGTTTATTCAATGGACTTTTACAAAGTCTAGATGTATTCAATGTAGATTTTAAAATTTTAAAGATATATAAAAGTTTAGATGTATTCAAACTTCCCTTCATTCTAATTGAATCTAAAATCATGGATTCTCGTGGACTTTTAACTCTTTTAGCACATTAATTTCCTGGAATTGTCTCTTCTCCTCATCAAAGATTTCTGTGGACTTTTCTATTGTTTTCTACTCGTCACAAGTACACATAGATTGTTTGAAGATTTGGCTAATTATTTACCCGAAATCACAAACCGATCAACAAGTCCAACTGGACTAGTATCGGCCGCGGTCAGGAGGTGGTACCAGGATAATCTCAATATGCAAGACTACAAAATTAAATTAAAATTTTAATCTTTTTAAATCATTTATACGATAAATAAAATTAATACCGATAGACACGATAAACATAAAAAAAGTGATAGTTTATATGTCATCTTACGAAGAAAAATGTAGGGATGAGATCGGTTAAGTTCTTGAAAAAAAGGAAGCATTTGAAGAACCGTTAATCCCATATCGATTCGGTTATAAACGTTTTTAGAAGAACCGGTATAAGAATCGATAGTAATACATTGGTGCAATTCCGGTAAGTTGTTAATTAATCATTAAGAAAAAAATTAACTATTACTGTATTTCATCGTTAAACCGTAACACATAAAAATATAATTTCAAACTAATAAATATTTAACCGTAAATAAGTATACAAAATTTAACAAGTTAAAAATGAAAAGAAAACAATTATTAGGAAAAAAAGATCGATTGCACCTATGCTTGTACCACATATAACAATGAGTGTGTGTAACAATTAATGTTCTTACTCATTTATTTTTGTAATATAACAATTTATCATAAATAGACCGAAATTGTTATCATAAATAGACCGAAATTGTTGAGAATTCTCGAAGCTTTGAGTTTTCTTATTAATAAAAATGAATTTAGATTATTATGCTTCATTTATTTTTGTTCAACTCTGTGTTGGTAGATGAATTACATTTGTTTCATTTATTAATTTAATAGTTTCTTGTAATGTTATTGTTGAGGTTTATTCCCGAAGATCCGAAAGCCCAACACAAGCTTTGGATATTGTAGGGATATTTGGTTGGGTTGAAAAGTGTATAAAAATATAAAACAGTGAGATATTATCCAACTCAGGAGCTTACTAGTATTCAGTAATTTATGCTATTACACTGGAACTACCCGAACGGTAGATGAGTATGAGAATACAAGGATAAGAGATGTAAATCTATTGCTAAGCTCTGAGTATCAAAATGCTAACCCTTTACAATGATCTAAACATGGATATTTATACTAAAAGAGGGATGGGAAAGCTGGACACGTGGCTGAATCCTGTAGGTTACCACCTCTGCCATGTAAGCACCCATGCCCCCACTTGTAGCCGCCATGATCCAGTATTAAATGCGGCCTCCACTTGCTGATTTCCCGTTCGGGCAAGGTGTTCGGTGTGTGGGACCCCGTCATAGATGTTATTTTGTTATGGAAGTATCCCGAATGCCGCTCGGGATCTGGGTACTGGCACTTTGGCGTAATTGTTTGCTGGAATGTTCCAAGTAGAAACTTTATCCCGAATGATGTTCGAGAATTCTTTGGACTGCCTTGGGCCTGCTGCTTCTTCCATGATTTGGGCCTAGGGATATTGGACCTGGACCTAATATCCCAACACTAGTCCCCCACTTCCTATGTCTCGAACGGTAGTGAGTGCATAAGGAAGTAGAAGATTACTGCCCGAATGTTGTTCGGTTGAGTATCGGATGGTATTCCGCCGGTTCCCGAGGTACATTCTGACGGTTATTTGCAACTGCCGTTTCACTTCCCCGACAAACGTCATGATTACTTGAGAAGGATTCTCCGCAGGACACGTGTATCCGTCATCATTACTGGAAACGTGTCTTTCTCTGATTGGCTGTTGATTCAGCGTGACAGAGTATAAGTAGGCTCTTCTGGTTTTGATTCTGGGTTTCGAAACTTTGCATCTCCGGCTTAAAACACATCCTTCTCTCTAGAGCTATTTCTTAGTTCTTGTTCAGGTATTTTCTGGCCTTTACGTTTCTCTTCTATCCTTCTTGTTCGATGTGGAAAGGATGCATGCGGTCCCCTCCCCTCCCAGACTGCCTAGCAACAGGGGAGGTTCTGCTCCTGATGATCTCCCGATCCCCGATCGGTTGACGGTGGAGTTTTCAGCCATGGGTCCCCGAGCTGAATGCCGGACACTGTTCGGGCAAACTGCATCATCCATGTGGTGTAGTACTTCTCTGAAGGCTGGTGAGGGTTTCACCAACCTGACGCATTGGTCCGATCTGGTTGAAGCAGGCCACGCTGAGACCCTTAAGGTATGCTTTTGACTGTTCAGTCCATTCTCCTTATGTTTAGTATTTTTTGGACTTGTTCTTATTGTTGTTTTTCTTTTTTCCACAGGCCGGTACATATTATCACCGGGCCTTCCTAGCCGCTGAACGGGAGATGACCCTCCTTCATCAGGAGCTGGATGAGAGCAAAACCCTCTTGGCCGCTGCGAGGAAAATGGCTGCAGATCTCCAAGATCGAGCCAACAAGGGTGACAAGGCCAGGGAGGAGCTGGCCGAACTGGAGCAGAGGCTCCAACGACGTGATCGGGAAATCCGCGATCTACGTGCCAAGGTGAAGGCCGCCGAAGCTGCTGGCCTGAAGATTGAGAAGGCCAAGGGGGAGAATCCCCCTGCCCCCTATACTGCCGATGTTTCCAAGATCACCACGAAAGCGGTGATTGATTTCCAAAGGGGGAAAGGCCTGAACATCGCCTTGGAAACTACTGCTCGGGAATTCCTTGGCAAGCATCTGGGCGAATTTTTAGAGAAGAGCAAGGATCCGTTGCATGATGGCCTCAAGCTTCTGGATGAAACCCCGTCCGGGACAGCCTTTGCCAATGCTCTGGCAAAAGATACCCTTGTTAAGTGTCAGGATATGCTGGTCGAACGGAATATAGAAGTGTTCAAGGAGTCTTTTGATGAGCCCTTTGACCCCAAGGAGAAAGGTTTTGATCTGTTATTCTGCCGTGCTTATCAACGGGTAGTGGAGAAGAGGCAAAAGGCCAAGGATTCAGCCGATCCCCCAAACTCCAACTCGGATGCTGCGCCGAACAAGGACCCTCCCGTAGCTTAGTTATCTCTATTTGTAATCCCTTTTTTCTTTTGTTCTCCTGTATAATTCCCGGCCAGTAGTGCCGAAGAATAAAGATACCTGCTTCCTCACATTGTTCTGATTGTTCTCTGAGCTAGTATTTTTCTTATACTTTATTCTTTTTCTTCACGCATAATTCCCGGTCGGTAAGTCGAGATTATCTCCTGACATCATATCTTTCCCTTGGTTTTATCCGTCCTTTTATTCCTTTGTTTGGTAGTGTCGAAGAATAACCTTCCCATGCAATGTCGAGATTGTTTCCCGATCTTCCTTTCCCTGTTCGGGATCTTTTTGCAGTCACCATCTTAGAGGTTAATTCCCCGACCGTTCAGAGCACTATTCAAGCTTTAATTATTACTTGGATAATGTCTGTCATCTGCCAAACCCATAATTCCGATTTACCCGTTCGGGATCATCCATACTAGAGGTTTGAGATGTCCATCTTTTTAAGCTAAATACAGGACCACCTGTTCGGGTCATCTCCGGTATTTCAAGCGAGAGTGGAGACTCACCTCCAAGTTATAGCTTGGATTCCACCATAACGATTTCCTTTCGTTGTGGTTCGTCAAAGCTATAGACTGAGGTGAGGTTTGTATTGCCCCTCATCTTCCAAGCCCATAATTCCGATGCACCCGTTCGGTTCAGCCTTTCCGGGACATCCATATTAAGGGTATGAGATGTCCATTTTCAAACTAAACACAAGATCACCTGTACGGGTCATCTCTTGTATTTCAAGCTAAAAATGGAGACTCGCCTCCAAGTTATAGCTCGGATTCCACCATAACGATTTCCCTTCGTCGTGGTTCGTTAGAGCTATAGACTGAGGTAAGATTTAAAGAATCAGAGTACTGACTCCCCGCTCCGTCATCCGAATTATCAAATGCCGTTCGGCTTGCCTTACTCGAAGTTTTACACCATCTCCTAAACTGGCTTGGATCCCCTGCTCGGTCATCCAGAGCACAAGGCCAAGTCCAAGCTGATACAGAGGCTCCCTCCAGATAAAGATGTTGGTTTTCCTTCGGATATCCATAATGATTGCCAACAGAGCTTGATCGAGGTGAGGCTTCTGGCCATGGTTGTGATATTGTCATTCGGTCTTCTAGCCTTGTGTTTGGAAGTAAATTTCTCCCTCTTTATGTATCCCCTGTACATTTTTTTTAAGAGGTGGCAACAGCCGTTTTATTGGTAAAACTTTCTCAGGTGTTCAACATTCCAAGCTCCTGCCGATTGGCCTTCGGTAGTCTGAAGGCGGAACGTTCCTTCGGCGTATTTCTTCTCTACCCGGTAGGGTCCTTCCCAGTTTCTGGCCATCTTTCCACCTTCTAGTGGTTTGCTTTTTTCCCTTTTCTTCAGGACCAAGTCTCCTACTTGGATTGAATGGA